CTCCCGGACACTGGGACATGAGATCAAAACTAGAAATTCTGGAAATGAGTGCATCCCTAGAGGAAAGGCCACACAGGTTACTGTGACACAATGTGCAGATGCTTCATTTTTACAGATCAGCAGGCCTTAGCTGCTTACACTCGAGTCTTATCTGGCTTTTTCCAAAGGGTGCTGCTGATGAACTGCTTAAGAAAACAAACATGACTAGATTCGGCTTTCATGAATAAAACATACGCCGACTGGCATGATCACCCAACATGTGCCTCTCCAAACGGCACGGACACGTCTGATTTCCATCCTCGAGAGACATCTCATTACGGATGGAAAACCTGAGGGGACCTCAGGTTCTCCTTTACCTCTGATGAAATGAGTCACTTATTCTGCTCTCAGACAGGATGCAAGAGGAAGACACAAAGAGCACCGTCGTGAGTTGAAAAGTTCACAGCATACAGGAGAAGGCAGCGGCGGAGCAGGAAACAACTCTATTTCTCTGTAGCCTGAAGAATATGACATTCCCTTTTTTTTTCTTTTTAAATCAGAGAAAAAAATATAGAAAATTGAGCTGTTGAGACCAGGAGACAAACAGAGAAAGACCCAAGTGAGGGTGTCAGTGGAAGAAAAGCTTGAAAAGATAGTGCTATCAGAGCCACAACATGGCAGGATGTGACATGTTGAGAGCAGGAAGGGGAAACCGGACAGATATAGATTAGTTTGGTAGCCGCTCCTGAAAACATGCCTATCCCATTAGTGGCCTTGGTGGCAGCTAATGTGCTTATCAAAGTCTGCACCTTGGATCTGCTCCTAACCCTGGCGATTTGATGCTACGGAGCACATTTTGACACACAGGAAGAGCAGGCAGAGTACAGGAATTGATACTGGAGGAGTCCTTTTTTCCCCTTTTTCCTTTTGTTTCTGAGTTCACATCTTATTGTGAGCTCATAAAACAGAAACAAAGAAAAAAAAAAACAAGAATGGTTTTCCTTTGGGTGAAAGCACAAATCTAACCAGAATTTATGTAGGTCATTAATTAGTAGGATTTTAGTGGAGCTCAGTGAAAGAGTGGGGCAAAGTTCAACAATGAGCACAAAAACAGAAAGGAAATAAAAGCTCTGAGAGAAAAACAAGCACCTTTTTTTTGTCAAGGAGCAGATTTCTACTCAACAGACATATAATCTCCCTGCAGAGAGCCGAATTACTACTTGGCATTAGGTAAATATGAGGAAATTCAGCAGAGATTTAATTCATTGATTAATTTTTAATAGTGTGCAACATCTGCAAAACTACACTGAGATGGCTCACGTGTTAAAGACTTTTTCTACTTCT